TTATAATAAAAAACTGTGTTAGCGTTGCTGGTTGTTTCCGTGCAACTATTTACGAACTTTGTTATTGCCTCGTTCATATCGTTGCAAGTTCCTGCCTCCATGATAATTTTGACTTTATCTATGGAGAAGCTTCGTGTCATTGCTTTAATGGCTTGCTGGGTGCTACATTTGGTAGCAAGCGCATTTGTCAGTCCATCTGCAATGTATGCTCCTTCCAGAGATTTAGTTAGGTCCTCTATCTCTTTTGTGCATTGGTTCGCTGTTTTATTTCATTGTTGTCGTTAAAACCTCTACTGATTTCCCTTGTATTTTATTTTTTAATAGAATTGTTTATTTGTGTCAGTGTGTTTTCCTCACTTATTAGATTTCTTGCGGCACCTTTTGGTTTAGTTTTTACTAGTGTGATTGCCCCTGCTTCATGAGTTTCTTTGATAGAATCTATTAGTTCTAATGCATCTAAGAAGCTCTGTAAGTTTGCAATTTTGCCATCGAAATCAAGGGCTGTTTGGAGAAACTCCACTAATGTTTGTGACATGTTGTTAGTGGAAGTTTTTGTTGAATTTTGGGAATCACTCAAGTGTATGTCCATCCTTCTTCTATTTGTGGCGGCTAATGTCCTTCCTCGTAATTCCTGGGAGTACTTGTCCGCTGTGGTTTTGTGCGTTGACGTGAGTCGCTCGTAGTTTACAGTTAATATTATCTGGACTTCTTCAAGACATTCTACGAGGATTTTTACGTTTTCGGTTATTGTGTCTGTGCTTGTGGGCCTGTCGATATTAAGACATTTACAGTATTTATCGCAACGCTCCTTAATGCTTTTACATTGCTGTACTATCGCTTGCCAGTCCATGCATGTTATTTAGTCTAATTTATTGACTAAAGAATGCTGCGCCTGCTCGAATTGTTGTCTGTACTTTCTTTTTGGGATTACTTCTCGGTAATCTACTGCATCGACATCGTCTCCTGAGGAGAGAGTGTGGACTTGTTCGTAATGTATCGGCGTGAAAGATGATTGCCCCTTGTCGGGTTCTGAGATATTGGTTTCAGGGGTCATGTGGCTTAGTGCAAGTTTATTTAGGGAGATTGTATTAAACGTTTAGTGTTAGTTGGCCTGCTTTGTGTAGTTCTTCTTTAAGCGTTTTCTGTGTAACAGGTATAGGGTTATTAAATGGTAAGTAACGATTAAAATTATGGAGAGGATCAGTAAATATTTTATTAATTCCAATAACATTGGCGTTAGGGCCATTAAGTTTGGTTTGTGTACCCTCCATTGATGTAAGAGAGAAAAACAAAATTTTGGATAAAGTTGGGTAGAGTTTTCTTATTATGGTTTATTTAACAGTATGGTTCTCTGACATAACTTTGACTTAACTCTGACTCTACAGTAACTGTACAATGGTCAGTGTCTTATATAGTAAATCAATATGCTAGCTTAAGCAAACTAAGTCATTACTAAAATTACATTGTGTGAAAATATATGAAAATATGTGAAAATGTATTCCAAATTATATCGTGTGAAAATGTACACACTTAACATCATCGATGTGTGAGAATATATAAAAGTGTATACTTACCATAAACTTAGTAAACAGGTAGAATGCGACGAGTCGATATGTGAGAATATATAAAATTGTATACTTAGCATAATATTAGTAAATGGGTAGAATGCGATATGTGAGAATATATAAAGGTGTATGCTTAGCATAAAATTAATAACCAGGTAAAATGTGATTAGTCGATAATGCTACAGTGTAATCAATGCAGGTTTTTACCTCATCTTCGCTGTTTATATTGTGCAATTGCAATTCAAATTGATCAGCCGCCATTATGCACATAACAATCAGGGAACGTTTGATTCTTTTAAAATGTTCATTGCAATGAAATGTATAAGCGCTCAGTTAGTGATAAAGCCAAGCAAAAGTTTTTTCATCGGCTTCTAACTGATCAGCAAATATATTACAAGTAATACCAATAGCTGATAATCAGCAATACAGTCAGAAGCAATTTTTCCAAAAAATTTTGCATAAAATCACGTGCAGCATTCTGACAATATACAAACGAAATATGTTGAATTTATTGTCAGTGCATATTTAAAATTATCTACCTCCACTGTCACTCCACTTTAAAAATTCTAAAAAACTCATAAATCCTTCTTTTATTAATTTTGTATTGATTACAAATGAACAAAACAATTTTAGATCCAATCTGACAACCGTTATTTAAAACAAAGTTGTTAACGACGGTATCGTCATATCAAAGATATGATAAAATTTATTTTGATACCATTTTCAATAATTCGATTATAAAAATGATTTCAAGTTATGCATGCGACCACATCCCCACCACAGGTATGTGCTATGAGCGGTACGGAAAATCGACCCCCTCAAACTTTTTCAGCCCTTGCCGAACGCTTTGCAAAGTTTTTCTTAACTTATAAACAGTTACTGCCCTGTTTAGTTCCGAGCTAAGCCTATACGCCACTTCCTTGCATTGTCCGTTAGTCGACGCCGCCCGAGGACACCACAACAATTTGGGGCATTCCCGGAGTAGCCTACTTAAGGCTTCATACGTCGCTTTCCTATTCCCCATAGTACAGCTAATGAAATAATGGAAACAAAGAATTTTTGAAAAATCGCAATAACGCATAATTTTTTGCTAACAACAACATCGTCCACAACGCGAATCTACATGAATACACTAAGCAAACGCCGGAACAACTTCCCATGAGAGAAACCAATCTCCCAAACCTAACTAATATATGTATATATATGTATACACATATGTAAATCGCGATGACTTAAGCGAGTCTAAAAGTGAGGTTACGTTCGTTTTGTTAAGCGGTCCTGTAATACCCCAAAGGAAGCTTTAGAGATCGTATAAGGTTCTTGATCAGTACCAAATTCCCTATCGATCTAAGCATGTCAGCCTACGCAATGCCTCTACTAAACAATCTCTCGATCACAAAAATTATATTGTGTTCAAGTTTGCCAAATGATTGGAAGTTTTTGAAGGGAAGATAGCCTCACGATACAAGATAAGCTGAGAAAATCTTTCGGCTGAAAAGTAAAAAAAAAAGAAGACCCTGCTCGTTATTTATAAGACAACAATTTTCGCGCATATTCTGTGGATTACTCTATAAATCATGTAAAAAATGGGAAAAAGCAGCCAGGCCCTTGCAGTATTATGGATTATAGAAGTTTTATTTTTTTGTTTTTCCCTTTTTATGCCCATCACTGTAAGATGGGAGTATACTCATTTCGCTTTTTTCATAATGTATATAACACCCAAAAGTAAGCTTCAGATATAGTAGAAAGTATATACATAAATAATTCTTTAGAACATATGGTCGAAACTGATGGAAGATGAACGTTTTAAAGTCATACCTGCAGAAAAATTGCAAAGCGGAGAAAGAAATCGTAATCCTCACTAGATGAGAATTCTCCAAGTGAAGTTAAAAAGCCCAAAAGCATCGATAAACGTTTTCAACTTTCTTCGAGCAAAAATGATAATGCAATGATGACATCAGTTAAACTTAAAAATAGCAAATAAATAGAAACTTCCTAAAGATGAAAATTTAAATAAAAATTTTTATTTTATTATCAAAAGTAGAGTTCAATTGTTTTTGAAGTGCTTTAATATTTAAACGAACAGATATCATCGTCTTACATTGAAACGAATATCCTTACTAGTGAAAATTGTGAACAGAGTTTTCGAATGTCGAGGTGATGTCCCCTATACAGGGTAATGAAGTTAGGTTTTTCTGACAGGTTTTAGCGTCCTTTAAGATATATCAAAAATCTGTAGTCTAAAAATAGTTAGAACACGATTTTAACATTGCATTCTTTCAGTATTTGTAACGTACTTTTGCATGAGATTTACTAGCAATAACTAAGCATTTTTGGTTTTGCGTTCCTAATTGGCGACTTAGTATGTTTTATATGTGCACGTTCGCTAAGATTACTTAATTTTAACACTTATTTTAATTTATTGTCATTCATTTCGCAATAAATTGTAATCCAGCAAAGACATTTTTACCGAAGACACGAACCATAAAAATGTGGTTGCTCAAGAGTGAAGACAGTCCACATTTTTGTCTTTGCTAAAATGAGGGCTAGCTACAGTGGGCTAACTTCACTTCAGTAAAATTTTTACTTATTTCTCTTGTTCTTCTCGTCTTTATTATCATTTTAATAATTTTTTTTTGAATTTATTGTAATTAAAATTATAATTTTGTTCTGTCTTTTATAGTGTCGATAATTTTTTTCTTATTGTTTATCTTCGTTGTGGTTGTAATCGTAACTTACTGTGCAAAGTAACTCCCAATTATTAATTATACTTTCAGTTTCAATAATCTTAAGAGAGTAAATGATTTTTTTTTTTGTGTTTATTATTAAGAATATACCCTGCATCATAAAAAAGAAAAGCAAGTCATGCTTGAGAAGATGGTATATTTCAATAGTGGGAGTTTATTGAAAGTGGGAGTTTACCGAAATTTCGATGGTTGTTCCTCGTTTATTGCTCTTTTCCTTTTTCTGTTGCTAATCCTTATACCTTTAAATATATTATTAAATACTTCATTAAATATAAACCCATTGCATATCTTAAGGACCATTGAAGCACTTTTACGTTAGTGTAGGCATTATGAAAATGCGATCATAACAAGGTAGTATTTGCATAAATTTGGTGCCTTTAAAGAATAAGCATATAAATTTGGTGCCTTTAGAGAAAATGGCGTATAAGTTCTCAGTAATTTGTAAAAATGCCAACCATGTGAGAATAAACATGAGCGTATATGTTTGTTTACATTTTTCAATAATTTTGCATTTATTTGCATGATGTGCCGTCATAGGCGCGTTGCCAATTGTTTTCAATGGTTGGCTCCCCTGTAGGCCTACACCATTCTATACATAATTTGAAACTATAATAATGCAATAATAAATAAAGCCCCGCTTATTAATATAATATAATATAAATATATAGTATATAATATACGCATACATAATATAAGATAAATAAATAAATATGTGACGGTATGCTGCTTGACAGTGGGTTGAGCGGTGTGTTGACATCTGCAAAGGTAAATTCATGTAATTACTAAATTTTATATATAAAGATGATCAAAAGCTTACCATTTGGCCTACGGAAGTATCGCATTCCGCTGAATCGATATTGCAGTCGTTTTTTTTTTTAATCTAAAATGAAATAAAAGCAAATGAATAATTTATACATAATAATAAGAGAGGATAAACGCAAACTTACCTTTGGCATGCAGCATCTATGTGAGTCGATGAGCGGGAAGTTGGACTTAATCTTTTTTTTATCGAAAATAGAAGAAATAAATAAGTAATATATAAATATAAATATGTAATAATATATTTACCTTCACTTTATCGATTTAATATACGATTATCTTTATTGGCATTGTTAGCGGACTTTTTCTATTCTGAAATAGAAAACAAAAAGGAAGTAATTTGTTAGTTAATTTTATAAAAAATTTTAATTACCTTTACTTTGCTTAGTTTTCTGCCTGAGTTTCCGCTTTAGGGCATCCAATTCGGCTTTAAGGCGCCGATTCTCCTCCTTCAGCACTGCTTCCGCTGATGTCGATGGTCCTTCGTCGTATATACCATTATCATGCTCCAGCGGGGCTTACGGCATTATATGGCGTCTGCTCTGGCGTTTCTGTCTCTGCATCTTGCAGTTCTTTTTTTCTTTTTCCTTGTAAAATCAGTTTCTTTATCTATGGTAAAAAGCCTCTGTCTACTACGTCCGTCTCGTCAAACCCTAGGAATTCGTCGTCACTAATCTCAATCCGTATGTTTCCGTCTTTTAGTAGCTGGTCGGTCATTCCGTTTACTGCTTGCGTCAATCCCAATTTATTGGCGTACCATATTTGTACGCACATTGACGTGCGACCTCTTCTGCCTATCTAATCGTCTTAAGGAAAATCTAACTGTGCGCAATTGCTCGCTTACTATATTGTTTGTCGTGGTGAGTAGGTCAGTTAACTCCATCAACTTTACCCTACATACTCTACGTCCGTCAATAGCCCACAACTGGGTATCTGTACAAAAGCCTGCTGATATTATACAGATTGTCAATTTATGTGTCAATATATTCAGCGACATGATCAATTAGAACATATTGGAAATTGTGTAAGCGCGTATTGGAATTAGAACACTTTGTTAGAGACCAGATTATCCACACAATTCAACGAAAAATCTTTGTTTTCTTAATTTGGATTATTTTGCAAAAAGGAAAAAGTGAGAAAAGATTAATCAGCTAATAATCGGATCAACCCATGGCCTATATTTAAGTTGCAATAATTTTTTTGTCTTTACCTCCGTTCTTATATGTTTTCATTCGAATTGTCGATTCAGGCAGCCGCGCTAAATGAGATGGACATTGCAATAAGCGTCTTTTGGATAATATAATATAATATGAGATCCCCGTTATTACAAATTACGATACGCACGAGAGTCCATGTTTGGGTACTATTATAAGAACGGAACCTCCATTTCAATAACCTGTAACTTTTTGTTATTGAAACTCGTGTTAGTCGAAAAACATAATGTGTATTGATAAAAATGCGGACTGTAAAACGTTAGAAGTAATGTCTGGCTAGGGTAATGAGGGGGATGGAAACACTGGATGACAATTTCATCGTGTCGCAAACAGGATACCAACAGTTACTTTTCACATTAAACAATTGCACTAAGCCCACAGAGTCTTCGAATACCGGAGAGCCACAGTCGCTAAATCCCTGCCGTACCAATTGCCGATCAGGCGTTAAAGCAAAAGTAATATTTTTGCACTTTAAACTTAGCGTGCAATAACATAGCCGTTATGTTTCGTTGTTTTTGGCTGGCTGGAGCAGCATGGTAGCTCAACATAATGCGATTTTCAAAACCTGAGAGATATATCGCAGAACCAGGTATAGGAATTATTTCCCTTTGCATGCTTGTCCCTACAGCTATCAATTTTGAAGTAGCCACTACAGCTACCACATCTTCTTCAGACAGCTGCATACTCCACTCCTTATTACCAGAAGCAGCCAAAGCAATTACTACTAGTTTTGCTGAATCCTCAACAGCTAAAACTAAAGCCGTACAACTTAAGCTCGCCATATTATGATTGTTATAATTAAGTATATGCAATGAATGATGAACACTGGCGTCATGAAATTTTACGTCGATAGCACCATTGGCGCCATCGGCACAAGAAGTTACAATACCCACGCCATTCCATACCAAATAACGATCTTCCAAATGAATGGAGGTATAATTGGGCTGAAAAGCGGTTTGTAGCTTAAAACCATTCGACACAGCGGGCGCATTTTTACTTTTACAAAGACTTAAAGACTCGTTGCGAGACACGGAATCCTTAGTATCTTCGTCTGCAGGTAAGTCTTCGCCATTGTAGGTTTTAATTTGATTTTTTAACTTTTCTATAGATTTCCAGTTGTCATCATCATCGTCGTTAGCTGTTTTAATTTTTGCTAGACGTTCAACGGCATCGTTTGTATCTCCTGTAAATTCTATTTCATCAAAATCATTATTAAATAATATACAATTGTACAGTATAAACATGCGACTGTACCGTATAATGGTCGGTAGATGCCAAAAGCTTGTCCCCTCTCTGAGGTAAACACACTACAAATTCACCCAACCAATTAGAAATAGGATCATCGTCATCAATTCGTAGTGTCTTCGTCACTTGGTGGTTATTTACAAAAAAAAAAAAAAAAGCTAACGGTAAATAATATAATTTTGTAAAAAAGTGCAAAATCAAAAATTTCTTTAAAAAAAATTGGAAAAAGCAGAAAAATAAAAAAATTTACATTGTTTGGTAAAAAAATTTAAAAAAACTAAACTTTACGTATATATATTTATTTTTGCAAGCAAAATCATGGAACTTAACAAAACTCCGCTTCTATGAATAGTGGTATCAAGGTTGTGCGATCTCCAATAACGTCGTTCATTTTTTTTTTTATTATTATGAATATATGTGCATGCGCTCTTTATTTAACGAAATTAATTTGTTGTATTACCGAAAACGGTTCACTTTACATATATATATATATATATTATATTTAAATTATAAGAAAACTATATAAAGTGAATAATTTTATAGTTTACAGGAAGTTTACAGAAAGTGCTTCTATATTTCTGAGCTTAAACAGCGTAAGAAAAGATTTTCTATGAATGAAGGTTCCGAATCATAACTATGCTTAACCCTGCGGGATGTTAGGGTAGCCATAAAATCATAGCACGGTGTTGTGAATAATGCCATACAAAAGTAAACGTCGTTGTGCGTACAATCATCAAACAATATTTCTGTAGATTTTAAAAGAAATTGTGAACCTTCTCCATGATATCCTTCTCAAAAAAGTAATAGCAATAGTTTGTTTGTATATTCTCTGGCCATGTGTATGTTGGCTTTTTTATTTTTCAATTTTAAATCGAGACCGTCTAAACACACTTTGATTATTATTTATTGGCCTTTACTGGTATTCTGGAATAATTAGAAAATAGAGTTTCTGGTTTTTTATCTTTTACATGGTCTTAGTATGTCGTATAAATAGACCTGATTAAAAACCTTTGAAATAACACCACATAGCAAATGACCAAATTAGGAATCAAAACCGAGTTAGTGATCTGGTATAAATAGCTAACAGTTAAATTGGAAATAGAAACTAATGGGCTGATTGAAAGATGAAGGATTGGATCCATTAGAACTTGTAATTGGTTGAATGAAGTTGAGTGGGTTTGAGTGGCATTCAGCGTTAATTAACTTGGCTTTGTGACTTTGCACCTCCGGCATCTATCGTATCATGATTTCAACTCACTGTTGAAAATT